ATGACAGATAAATGCATGCACTCAGACTCAAATTTCCAGCGAACGAGTAGGCCAGGGGTCATGAGCTACTTAGAGAGAGAGATCGCAGCTGCACAACTCTGACTAGTTTGCCCTCTCCGCATTTATTCAGTATAGACGTAATAACAGAGGCTCTAAGTTAACACACTTGTAGAGGAAGAGTAAAGACCAGGTTCCAAGCCCAAAACAAACACCATTAGAGCGTAATCCCTGGTCAAACTCCTCCCCGAGAGGGCCATCCAGCTCAAAAGGTTAGTTTTAAGGCCACATGAGTAAACAAGTTAGGTAAACTCCCACATTCCTTTTACTCTAATTTATTTAACTAAGGGGACAAGGTTGCCTTCAGCCAAGAACTATAGAAAAAACCTTAGGCCTTCCAAAAGGGTTGGAGATTATATTTTATAACTTTTTCTAATATTTTTCCCTTAATATTTTTGTCACCACCCTGAGTGAATCCCCACAGAATGTCCCATAACCTTTATTTGTCTCGTGGCTTTCTTATGCATAGGAAGCTTAGATTCAGGTTAAATATTTTTGGCAAGCATACCACATAGGTGGTATGATGGTACATCTTTTATTGTATTACATTGGGAGGCACATATGTCAGGGTGCTCCACTACTGTTGATGCCAAGTTCTATAGGTTAGATGTTTGTCCCCTCCAAATCTTAGGTTGAAATTTTCTCCCCAGTATTGGAAGTGGGGCCTAATGGCAGGTGTTTCAGTTTTGGGGGTGGATCCCCTGATGAATAGATTAATACCCTCCCTGGGAGGCAGTGGGTGAGTGAGTTCCTGCTCTTACTAGTTCCCACAGCAGCTGGTTGTTAAAAAGAATTTAGCGTCATGCCTGTAATCCCAGCACTTTGGGAGGCCGAGGGGGGTGGATCACGAGGTCAAGAGATCGAGACCATCCTGGTCAACATGGTGAAACCTTTTCTTTACTAAAAATACAAAACATTAGCTGGGCATGGTGGCACGTGCCTGTAATCCCAGCTACTCAGGAGGCTGAGGCAGGAGAATTTCCTGAACCCAGGAGGCGGAGGTTGCGGTGAGCCGAGATCGTGCCATTGCACTCCAGCCTGGGTAACAAGAGCGAAACTCCGTCTCAAAAAAAAAAAAAATTAATAATAATAATAATAATTCTTCCATATTATTCTATTCTTGTATCATGTGGAATAGCTTCTCACATCCCAATAAGAATACACATGGTGACTTTTGAGGTTTTGTTGGTTCCCCAGTGTAGTCTCTCTTCTGAGTTCCTTTGGTTGCTTTGTTTACTGTCTTTTATCTTATAGGCTTTTCTCAGATATCTAATATTTGCCTATTTTTTGTTTCTGTTATCTTTTATCTTACAGGCTTTTCTCAAATATCTAATATTTGCCTATTTTTTTTCTGTTGTTTTTGTGTATATTTAAGGTGTTTTATATATATTTATGGTTTTGATATACATTATGAAATGGTTACTGTAGTCAAGCAAATTAACATGTTCATCATCTCACATAGTTACACCTTTGTGTGTGTGGCAAGAACACCAAAAATCTACTCTCTTATTAAAAAACTCAACTACAATACAATGATATTAACTATACCCTCATGTTGTACATTGGATCTCTAGACTTATTCTTTCTACGTGTCTGAAACTTTGTATCCTTTGACCTGCATCTCCCCATTTTCTCCCTGACAGTCCCTGGTAACTACCATTTTGTATGCTATTTCTATACTTTTTCTGTTAACATTCTATATATAAGTAAGATCATTCAGTATTTCTCTTCCCATGTCTCCCTTATTTCACATAGCATAATGTCCTCCACTTTCATGTCTGTTGTGGCAAATGGCAGGATCTCTTTTATTTTCAATGGTGGATAGTATTCATTTATATATGTCAATTCCTTCATCTGTTCATCCATCAGTAGACACATAAGTTATTTTCACATCTTGTGAATAGAATAATACTGCTTTGAACATGGGGAAGCATATATCTTCATGAGGTGGTGATCTATTTGTAATTCAGAGTGGATCCTAAGAAGCTATAAGTTAAATTTTATGTGTTGATTGTTAGACTTTTATAGGTAGTTAGTTCTCTCTACTTCTTAAGTTTTTCTGGGGTTCTGCAGCATAAATCATAAACTTTTTTACACAAAAATGTATAAGATGTGTGGCTTTTCCTTAATTTTAGTTAAGACTGTATCGTTTTTGGTTCGTCATCATTTATCTTACACTTTCAACTTAAAATGTTGGCCGGGCGTGGTGGCTCATGCCTGTTATCCCTGCACTTTGGGAGGCTGAGGCAGGTGGATCACGTGAGGTCTGGAGTTCAAGGTCAGCCTGGCCAACATGGTAAAACCCCATCTCTACTAAAAATACAAAAAGCAACCAAGCGTGGTGGTGGGTGCCTGTAATCCCAGCTACTTGGGAGGCTGAGGCAGGGGAATCACTTGAACCCAGGAGGTGGAGGTTGCAGTGAGCTGAGATTGCACCATTGCACAGCAGCCTAGGTGACAAGAGTGAAACTCTGTCTCAAAAAAAAAAACAAAAAACTTAAAATGTTTTGTTGTTGCAGTGTTCTCATTGATTTCCTTTTATGTGGTGGGATTGTTCCTTTTTACAAAGTCCTTTCCATTCCTCTTAGTGAAGTTTAGTGAGGGCACAGGGATAAATGCACATGATTCACTTGCCCTTTTTCAGAGAAATTATGTCCTACATCTAGAGAAATCTTGTTTTTAGATGCTTATTTGTAAGGATAATACATTTTTTTTTTTTTTGAAACGGAGTTTCGCTCTTGTTACCCAGGCTGGAGTGCAATGGCGCGATCTCGGCTCACCGCAACCTCTGCCTCCTGGGTTCAGGCAATTCTCCTGCCTCAATCTCCTGAGTAGCTGGGATTACAGGCACGCGCCACCATGCCCAGCTAATGTTTTTTGTATTTTTAGTAGAGACGGGGTTTCACCATGTTGACCAGGATGGTCTCGATCTCTTGACCTCGTGATCCACCCACCTCGGCCTCCCAAAGTGCTGGGATTACAGGCTTGAGCCACCGTGCCCGGCCCAGGATAATACATTTTAAAAATAGTTTATTATATTAGCTATTCAGTAAATGCATTTAGAATTTATTGTTTTTTCTCTTTTTTTTTTTTTTTTTTTGCATGTACCAGAGTTCAAGTTCACTAAATTAACAGACGTTATCCTTGTCTTCAAGAATCTTGGCTCTATTGTAGCAGACAGAGATTAAACAAGCATTCAAACAAATATAAAAATTTTAACTGTATAGAATGGATACGTAAATTACCCATTATCAAAACAAAACACAAAAAGGAAAAAAGTGCTCTGAGAAATGATGGTGGAGTGTGCATAATTAAGACTGAACATGCAGGAAATATTTTAAAGATACATCATTTAGCAGAGACCTAAACCATTGCTGGAAACTTGTAAGGCCAAGAGTAGGGGCAGTGGATATAGGGGGACATTTCAGGCAGATGAAATCATGATGGGGGTAGGTGGGTACAGTTTTGCGCATTTAAAGAACTATGAAGGCCACTGTAGCTACAGTGTATTGTTGGGGTGGGAGTGCCAAGAGGAATATAAGGTTTAAGAGACAGGCAGATCACTGAGGAACTTTTAAGAGCAAGTTCATTTTGAGAAAAACAGTTCCAGGCTTAATATCACTAGGTGCTAAGGGTCCAAAACTGGAAATGCAGGCAGCTAGAAGAAATGCTGCTTTAGTGTCCAAGCAAAAGATAATTCTGATTTGGCTTAGCCAGTTGGAGATTGGAAGAACAATTTCAAGACATATTTAGACTTGCTTTAAACAGGATTGTTATGTGAGTTGTAGAAAGAGATTGATGCTGGAATTTTTTCACCTTTTGGGGTTTGAGGTATTCACTCAGGGCCTTAGATAGTATCTTTAAATCCATTCCCTTTCTTAGTCTCTACTTTTATGGCATTGCAGTATCAGATTGACACCTGTCTTGCCTTCCCTTTCCTCTTATGTTAAAACTAGATTCTGTTCCTCTGCCGTAGCCCTGAGTTCCTTCTTCCCCCAATGCCATCATAGAATTTGGAGGCACACTTATTTTTTTTTTTTTTTTTTTTGAGACGGAGTTGCACTCTTGTTACCCAGGCTGGAGTGCAATGGCACGATCTCGGCTCACCGCAACCTCCGCCTCCTGGGTTCAGGCAATTCTCCTGCCTCAGCCTCCTGAGTAGCTGGGATTACAGGCATGCGCCACCATGCCCAGCTAATTTTTGTATTTTTAGTAGAGACGGGGTTTCACCATGTTGACCAGGATGGTCTCGATCTCTTGACCTCGTGATCCACCCGCCTCAGCCTCCCAAAGTGCTGGGATTACAGGCGTGAGCCACCGCGCCCGGCCTGGCACACTTATTTTTAATTAAATGGCATAAACAAACCACATTGTGATCACAGATCAATCTTCCCTTTCCATAGCTCATTCCATACTCATTTAGCACATTAGTCTTTCATTTGGAAACTGCTCTTCGTGGCTTATCTTTCTTTTTTGTCTCCATCAGTTTATATGCAAATTATGTTTATTACTGAATCATCCCAGATTTTCCACCCCAGGAAAAATGTAGTACTCCAACCAACCCTGAGAAATGAATATGAGAATTACCCTCATTTATCAATGTTCATAACATTAGATTCATCTTTTAAGAAATTAAGACAGGGCCAGGACATCTATATAATTACCAAGCTTTCAAAGTTTGCAGGGAACTTTTATCTAAACTATGATTTAGAAATAATTAATCTGTTTCCTAAATACCTCCTTCACTTTCTAGTGTGATTTTTACTCATTTTCTCTGCTTTTCTAATCTGTTTTTCAAATTGCCCAGTCATATGTGATAACTGTATAAGCCACTCAATTTTTATGAAAATTAAATTGTAGTTAAGTCTTTCATATCTATTATAAATGTTAAATCTCTCCCAGGACACAAAAAAATAAATGTTTGCTTTTATATTTTCTTTCAGACTTTGAATCAAGGTTGAGACCAAGAAATTATTTCTGAAAAAGGATATTTATGGAATAGAATCATCCTGATGGGAGATAATGGAAAAACTTACAAAACACAGCATTGAGTGTTCAAGTTTCAGAGGTGATTGGGAATATAAAAGCCAGTTTGAGAGAAAACAGGGATCTCAGGAAGGACATTTCAGTGAAATGATATTTACTCCTGAAGACATACCCACTTTCAGTATCCAGCATCAGAGAATTCATACTGATGAGAAACTCCTTGAATGTAAGGAATGTGGGAAGGATTTTAGTTTTGTGTCAGTCCTTATTCGACATCAGCGAATTCATACTGGTGAGAAACCTTATGAATGCAAAGAATGTGGCAAGGCCTTTGGTAGTGGTGCAAACCTTGCTTACCATCAAAGAATTCATACTGGTGAGAAGCCTTTTGAATGTAAAGAATGTGGAAAGGCCTTTGGTAGTGGCTCAAACCTTACTCACCATCAGAGAATTCATACTGGTGAGAAACCCTATGAATGTAAGGAATGTGGGAAAGCCTTCAGTTTTGGATCAGGCCTCATTCGTCATCAGATCATTCACAGTGGTGAAAAGCCTTATGAGTGTAAGGAATGTGGGAAGTCCTTTAGTTTTGAATCAGCCCTTACTCGGCATTACAGAATTCACACAGGTGAGAAACCTTATGAATGTATAGATTGCGGGAAAGCCTTTGGCAGTGGTTCAAACCTTACTCAACATCGGCGGATTCATACTGGTGAGAAACCTTATGAATGCAAAGGATGTGGAATGGCCTTTAGCAGTGGTTCAGCCCTTACTCGGCACCAGAGAATTCATACCGGTGAGAAACCATATATATGTAATGAATGTGGGAAGGCCTTTAGTTTTGGATCAGCCCTTACTCGACATCAAAGAATTCATACTGGAGAGAAACCTTATGTATGTAAGGAATGTGGGAAGGCTTTTAATAGTGGCTCAGATCTCACTCAACATCAGCGAATTCACACTGGTGAGAAACCCTATGAGTGTAAGGAGTGTGAGAAAGCCTTTAGAAGTGGTTCAAAACTTATTCAGCATCAAAGAATGCATACTGGTGAGAAACCTTATGAATGTAAGGAATGTGGGAAGACGTTTAGTAGTGGTTCAGACCTTACTCAACATCACAGAATTCATACTGGTGAGAAACCCTATGAATGTAAGGAATGTGGGAAGGCCTTTGGTAGTGGCTCAAAACTTATACAACACCAGCTAATCCATACTGGTGAAAGACCCTATGAATGTAAAGAATGTGGAAAGTCCTTTAGTAGTAGCTCAGCTCTTAATCGGCACCGGAGAATACACACTGGTGAGAAACCCTATGCATGCAGGGAGTGTGGGAAGGCTTTTTGTAGTGGCTCAAGCCTTACTCAGCATCAGAGAATTCATACAGGTGAGAAACCTTATGAATGTAAGAACTGTGGGAAGGCTTATGGGAGGGATTCAGAGTTTCAGCAACATAAGAAAAGTCATAATGGTATGAAACTCTGAATTGGAAACTATAAATTGAAATTATGTGATAAAAGGACTCTAAACATATGACATAAGAAAATTCATAGTGGTGAAAAGCTCTACAAACAGAACTAAGGTACAAATGCCTTACTTATGCTTCACAGGTTTGTCAGTCTAAGAAAATTTATACAAGAAAAAAAAAATCCCTGGATAAGATAAATATTTGAAGATCCTTATCTATATTCATTACTTCGTTACTTTTGGAAAATTCATACTTGTGAATGTTAAAATTGAAAAAAAAAAAAAAGGATTTATTGTATTTGCCTCTATTTTAAACATTGGAAAACTCATTTCTGGGTTAACCCTGCTATACTTTTTAAATGGTCTTTTTTTTATTATATAGAATTACTGATTCATCTCAAAATTATTTATTACAAGTCTAAATATATCATTTTTTCTTCACTGCTTATCATCTTTACACCATTTATTCAATAACCTTGTCCATTTTCATATTTTTTTATTGACTATTTGATGGTAAGTTACATTTTTATTCACTTTAAGCTTGGATATCAGGTCAGTGTTTTTTTTTAAATTTACATATTTGTATCTATGTCTCACCCTGTTTATGGTAAATAACTGTTACTTTTAAGTATCCTTTAATATCTGATGAACCTGTGCCTTTTATTTTAGAAGACTGTTTTACTTTTCTTTTATAAAATTATACTCTCCACTTTGCAAAACAGCTTTCCCTCATCAAAATGTAGATAAGAAGAAAAAAAAGCATATGGTTACCTGTAATCTTGCCAATCATAGATAACCACTGTCAAACTTTTGGAGCAAATCCTTTAATACTATCTCTCTCATTGTTTTGGAAACAAGGTATGATTATGCTATACTATAACTAGCCCTTAATATTTTTTGTCTGTAAATATGTTACTATTTTATTCGCTTTATAGTATTCACCTGTCTTTTTCAAACATGAATTTTGTCAAATATTAAAAATTTTCCCATTACAAACACTTACCTTGATGGCCCCTTTTCAGTGTGTCTGCATTATTTATTTATTGTTCACTTCAGAGATAATGTGTCAATATATAAGATTTTTACATTACAGATAAAGCTGGCCTTTCCTTTGAGCAGCATTCCTGGCTTCAGTTCCTTTCCAATGTTAACCAATTTACTTATTCTTCCATATCCTTTTATGTGCATCTATAACATACCTATGGTAATGTGGGTAGATTCAGAATACCTTAGAGCCTTATTGTATGGATTCTATAATTGTGCCTATCACATAATAAGTGCTTAGTGAATGTTACCTATCACTATTGTCTTCGCAAGCTTCATTTTTATTATTTATAGGAAAACTTTTAGCCATGACCCATGTCTTAACTCTACAACAAAGACCTCACAATGGAGACAGACATTCATTTAAATGAGTGTAGGGAAAGTTTGACTGACACTCATTCCTTGTTGAATAAGAATATTTGCTGCTACGCACAGTGGATCACTTGAGGCCAGGAGCCTAGCCAACATGGTGAAACCTCATCTCTGTTAAAAATACAAAAATCAGCCAGGCATGGTGGTGTGTGTCTGTAGTCCCAGCTACTTGGGAGGCTCAGGCACAGGGTTTGCCTGAACCTAGGAGGTGGAGGTTGCAATGAACCAAGATCATACCACTGAACGCTAACCTGGGTGACAGGGCAAGGCTCTGTCGCAAAAAAAAAAAAAAAAAAAAAAAAGAATAATTTGTCCTACAGAAAAATGTAAGACTATTAAGTGTGAGAGACACACTATAAAATTTGTACCAGGGTAGAAATAAAAGGCTATGTCAGTTTTCTCCATTGAAATCCAAATACTAATTCAGTATTCTGCATGATTCTTTGCTGAAAAATAAAATCCAGGCAGGCACAGTAGCTCATGCCTGCAATACCCCCACTTTGGGAGTCTGAGACCAGTCTGGGTGACACAGCAAATCCCTGTCTCTACAGAGAATGTTTTTAAAAGAATGAGCCAGGCATGGTGACCTCCAGCTACTCAGGAGCCTGAGGTGGGAGGATGAGTTGAGCCAGGAATTCAAGGCTACAGTGCGCTATTATTGTGCCACTCCACTGCAGCCTGGACAACAGAATGAGACCCTGTCTCTAAAAATAAATGAGTAAATTAGTTAAAATCAAAACAAATTATTTTTTAAAATAAATGGTGCTGAGTAGACTACATAAGCCATTAAGGATCTGTTATATACAGAAGAAATTTTACAGCTCTGAATTCATTCATTAGAATATTAGAGAAATTGTAAATGAAGAATCCAAGCATATAACCCAATAAAAGAATAACTACAACAAAAACTCTAAGGATAATGGGAGAGAAACAATTTTAGAAGAAAAAAGCTAGATCAATAGTCACAACATGCTGTTTTGAAAAAAAAAATAGTAGCAGTTCTCATAAATAAACATATAGGAACATGAATGCAAAAACGACATTACTCTAGAGACTTTATGGAGTACAGGTTGAGTGTCCTTAATTTGAAAATTCAAACTCTGAAATGCTCCAAAATGTAAAACTTTTTGAACCCAATGTGATGCTCAAAGGAAATTTCAGACTTTTGAATTAAGTATGCTCACCTGGTAAGTATAATGCAAATATTCCTAAAACACTTCTGGTCCCAAGCACTCTGGATAAGGGATACTCAGCTTATATTTATTACTATTGCCTGTAATCTTCTAATAATTATTTTGGGCCGGGTGCAGTGGCTCACGCCTGTAATCCCAGCACTTTAGGAGGCTGAGGTGGGTGGATCACAAGGTCAAAAGATCTTGAGACCATTCTGGCCAACATGGTGAAACACCATCTCTACTAAAAATTAAAAAAAAAAATTTAGCTGGGCATCGTGGCGCATGCCTGTAGTCCCAGCTACTCGGGAGGCTGAGGCAGGAGAATTACTTGAACCCGGGAGGCGGAGGTTGCAGTGAGTAGAGGTCAAGCCACTGCACTCGAGCCTGGTACCCGGTGACAGAGCAAGACTCTGTCTCAAAAAAAAATTATTATTTTGAATTTTAAAATGAACATTTTAAAAAAAGGCTTTTAATCACCAGAACTGACTGCAAGTTGCATAGAAATGGGTATTATATAAGGGATATAAAGCAAAAAGTATCTATATTGGCTGGGGAAAACCACTGTGGCAAAAGTCTCTCTTAAAGATATGGGTTGATGATTTGGAGTTTATTATTTTAATTAAATCCTGTTTATGAATCTTTTTCTATACACAGAACTTTGAGTCTCAAATGTTTGTGTGTGTTTCATGCCTACAAACTCATGGAGATATTCTCTTTCTTCCCCTAGAAGCTTTATTTCACCTCTCACATCTCAAGTTTTGGTGTACAATATGATATCCAAGTTAATCCAGCATTATTTATTGAAAAGTAAATTCTTTCCCCCAGATTATATTCCATTTCTACAAGCCTCTTGTCACCTTTCCTGATACCATCCTGAACCTAACCATGGCTATATGTTACTTAGATGTTTATAACTTCCCAATTTGTCTGTTTTCGTAGCCTTTAGGGCATTCACAACAGCATAGCCACAGTGATTCAGATGATATCACTTCTATGCTCAGTTTCTGGAAAATTTGAGCAAAAAGTATAGTAGCATCGGATTATAACCCAAAGTATAAAATAAATATCCATGCATTCATTTTTTTTTTTTTTTTTTTTTTTTTTGAGTCGGCGTTTCGCTCTTGTTGCCCAGGCTGGAGTGCAATGGCGCGATCTTGGCTCACCGCAACCTCCGCCTCCTGGGTTCAGGCAATTCTCCTGCCTCAGCCTCCGGAGTAGCTGGGATTACAGGCACGCGCCACCATGCCCAGCTAATTTTTTGTTGTTTTAGTAGAGACGGGGTTTCACCATTTTGACCAGGATGGTCTCAACCTCATGATCCACCCGCCTCGGCCTCCCAAAGTGCTGGGATTACAGGCGTGAGCCACCGCGCCCGGCATATCCATGCATTCATACTAATAAATTACTATATTATCAGATAGCTAACTAAATAAATGGAGATGAGACAAATCTCCAGTGCAGAATTCCAAATAATTTATGTAGATATTCTGCCTTCAGGGAAATGGAGCATAAACCCCCGCTCCTTAAGTACGTGCTGTAAATAGTGACTTCCAAAGAGTACTGTATGGGAAAAAGGGGAAAAGAGTAACTTTACACTGGAGAAACTTGACAAACACTCCCTCACTCAGGTGATCAAGACCAACAAAAATAGTAATCATGTTTATAGTATAAATCCTTGATATCTATGAGGAAAATGTCACTTTACCTCTGTAAATCCTCATGTAATCATGAGAAAAACATGGGCGTCGTGCTGACCACCTGTAATCCCAACGACTCAGGAGGCTGAGGCAGGAGATTCACTTGAACCCAGGAGGTGGAGGTTGCAGTGAGCTGAGACTGTGCCATTGCACTCCAGCCTGAATAAGACGAGCAAAACTCCGTCTCAAAAAACAAAAAAAGAGGAAGAAAGTGTCACAGCTAACAGTAACCTAAGGAGAAATGATGACTAACTGCAATGTGCTCTCCTGCTTAGAATGCTGGAACAGGCCGGGCGCGGTGGCTCAAGCCTGTAATCCCAGCACTTTGGGAGGCCAAGGCGGGTGGATCACGAGGTCAAGAGATCGAGACCATCCTGGTCAACATGGTGAAACCCCGTCTCTACTAAAAATACAAAAAAATTAGCTGGGCATGGTGGTGCGTGCCTGTAATCCCAGCTACTCAGGAGGCTGAGGCAGGAGAATTGCCTGAACCCAGGAGGTGGAGGTTGCGGTGAGCTGAGATCGCGCCATTGCACTTCAGCCTGGGTAACATGAGTGAAACTCCGTCTCAAAAAAAAAAAAAAAAAAAAAAGAATGCTGGAACAGAAAAAGGAAGAAAAGCTTAAAACCTAAGAACAGCTGGAATAAAGTGTAAGCTTTAGCTAATACTTCTTCATTAATTGTAACAAATGTTATCATACAATGTAAGATGGTTTTAGGAGAAGAAACTAGGTGTAGCATATATGGGAATTTTCTGGATTACTTTTCTAACTTTTCTGTAAATCTAAAACTATTCTAAAATAAATTGTATATTTTAAAATAGAATGGAGTATTCAAATTATTTCTAAGTAGTCATTCCTGTGTACCCACAGAGCCGGGTTTATCATAATTTAAGTAACGATATTACATGCAGTCATTTACATCTATGATATTAGATCCATGTTTTAAGACAGGAACACACACAGAGCCCAGACCACTGTTTCCTGATATGTTAGGCTAAAACTCAGATTTGAGACTCAGAATTATATTGGTCCTCTTCAACATTTTACTCCATCTAATTGCACAACTCTACTTATTGGGTCTCCTGAACTCTAGAGCCAATAACAGCGATCCTAAAGTAATTCCCATGATTTTGTCTAAGGTACAATTTAAATTCTCTGATGACTCTAAATCTGCAGAAATATTAATAGAGAAAAAGTAATAGGGTTATGTGTATAGGAAAAATGTAAATTTTACTACCTGTAAAAAAGATTTCTGCTTATTAAAAAATCAAAAGGGCCGGGCACGGTGGCTCATGCCTGTAATCCCAACACTTTGGGAGGCAAAGGTGGGCGGATCACCTGAGGTTAGGAGTTCAAGACCAGCCTGGCCAACAAGGTGAAACCCCGTCTCTAAAATAAATAAATAAATAAATAAATAAATTTTTTAAATCAAAAGAGGCCAAAAGATTAGGAAAATTTACTGGAACAACACATGACAAACACCTTAATATGTAATATATAAAGAAATATATTTCTTAAATATATAAAGAAATTTGTAATCAGTAAAGATGATCAACAATGTGGAGAAACAAGCATTTATAGTAGCATGAACATGCCTTTTAAACATTTGAACAAATGATCAGTTTCTATTATAACACAGAAATGGAAATGAAATTATAATGAAAATTGTTCTCCTGTCTTGTTTGAACAAGTTTGATAAAACATTTATTAGTATGCATATTCCTAGAAAGAGGTTTCTTGTTCTATCTCCCAACACGTTCAGTGTTACTACCACAATATAGTGTGAAAGCATCAAGGCAAATATCCTTAATCTCTTTGCCCTGAAGACATCTGTCTGCAATATCCAGTACTCTCAGGTCATTCCTCAACCCAGGGCTCCAACTGCAATAAAATTTATATACCCATTTAGGATTATTTTATCTTCTTGTTGAATTTATCCTTTATCATTATAAATGATCTTCTTTGTCCTTTTTAATTTGTGTTGGTTTAAAGTCTGTTTTGGCCATCACAGTGGCTCACGCCTGTAATCCCAGCACTTTGGGAGGCTGAGGCAGGCAGATCACTGAGGTCAGGAGTTCAAGACCAGCCAGGGCAACATGGTGAAACCCTGTCTCTACTAAAAATACAATAATAATAATAATAATAATAATAATAATAATGATTAACTGGGCATGATGGTGCATGCCTGTAATCCCAGCTACTTTGGAGGATAGACAGGAGCCGGAGGTTGTAGTGAGCCGAGACTGCGCAACTGCCCTTCAGCCTGGACAGAATGACACTCTGTCTCAAAACAAAATTAAAAAATATATATATTTGACTAACAACTTATATATAAAAGGAAATTATAAATATATTAGACAAAATAGTGCTAACAGGCTATTATGAGTTGAACTGTGTCATCTAAAAGGAGCTGAAGTCCTAAGCCCTGGTACCTGTATATATGACCTTACTTGGAAATACAGTCTTGACAGATGTAATCAAGTTGAGTTCACCAGGTAACCCCAATCTAATCTGACTGATGTCCAAATAAGAGACATACACACAGACACACGGGGAGAATGCAATGTGCAAATGGAAGCAGACATTAGAATGAGGTATTTGTAAAAGCCAAGGGATGCCAAGGGCTGCCAGCTGTTAACAGGTTAGGAGAAAGGCATAGAACAGATCCTCACTCAGAGTCCTCATAAGGAACCAAAACTGTCAGCACCCTTGATTTTAGATTCCCAGGCTCCAAGCTGTAAGAGAATAAATTTCTCTTGTTTTAAGCCACCAAGTTTTTGGTACTTGGTACTTTGTTATGGTATCCTTTAAAAACTAATACATAGGAGAACCTTTGATAATGTGTACCCTAACTTGTTCTCATTACCTGTTTTAAAAAATCTTATTATAAAGGTTAACAAAAGGGTCTTTAGTTTCTATCATTCAACCAGTATGAATTCCTTCATGGCGAATGAGGTCGGAGCGACTACCAAAAGCTTTTCCACATTCCTTACAGTCATAGGGTTTCTCACCAGTGTGAATTCTCTGATGTCTAGTAAGGTTTGAGCCTTTATTAAAGGCCTTCCCACATTTATTACATTCATATGGTTTTTCATCTGTATGGATTCTCTGATGTTGAATAAGTTCTGAGCTCTGAATAAAGGCCTTTCTACATTCTTCACATTCATAGAGCTTCTTACCAGCATGAATTCTGTGATGGTTAGTAAGTGTTGAGGCACTATTAAAGGCCTTCCCACACTGCTTACATTCATAAGGTTTCTCACCAGTATGCATTCTCCGATGCTGAATAAGCCTTGAGTGTTGAGTAAAGGCTTTCCCACATTCTTTACATTCATAAGGCTTCTCACCAGTATGAATTCTCAGATGTAGAAAAAGTTGTGAACTTTTAGTAAAGGCTTTTCCACATACTTTACATTCATAGGGTTTCTCACCAGTGTGAATTCTCTGATGATCCTTAAGGTTTGAGCAATAATTAAAAGCTTTTCCACATTCCTTACATTCATAGGGTTTCTCACCACTGTGAATCCTCTGATGTTGAGAAAAATATGAACTACAACTAAAAGCCTTGCCACATTCCTTACATTCATAGGGTTTTTTACCAGTGTGAATCCTCTCATGTCGAGTAACAAGTGAGCCATAACTAAAGGACTTCCCACACTCCTTATATTCATAGGGTTTTTTACCCGAATGAATTCTCTGATGTTGAATAAATTGTGAGTTCTGATTAAAGGTGTTTCCACATATCTTCCATTCCCATTGTTTCTCTTCACTCATAGTTTTTTGAGGTGGAGTAAGAAATGTGGGCTGAATGAAACGAGTCATGTCTTCATGGGTAAGTATCACTTGACTGAAATATCTCTTCTTTAGAGATAATATCTTGGTCTCACACATTGATTCTAGATCTGAAAGAAAATAAAAAGGCAAATAAATTTTCCTATTCTGGGCAAGCTAAAATTTCTAAAAAAGAAATAGGAGGATTAAGCTGAAAAGAATATCTGGGAAATTAACACACTTCATTTTCAAAGGTGGCTAGGCAATCTGTAAAACTGACAAGAAAAGCACAGACATTAGGAAGGTAATAAAAGAAGCTGAGGATGTAGATTCAGGAAGTAGATGGCCTCTATGAGCCTTAAATGTTGTTCTGAACCAGAGTCACCTTAACCCTTGGTGAATACACAGTGTTCAGCATCATCCTCCATATTACAGAGAGATTCTAATTTCTTAATTTTTCTTTGCCTGCAGGCGCTGCCTGAGACCCAGCTTTGTGTCTCCTCATCATACAGCTTGTGGAACTCTGACTGCAAGGCCATCAGCATGGCCAGGCAGGGGTTCAGCTAGAGGGTAATGGGAGACAGGCTAGGAGGATGCTGCCCCTGGTCCAGGGCAGAGAAATTATAATTATATATACATGTGTACAAATATATACTCACATACACAGAGCACAATACTGTTATGTTTTATAATTTGTAGATAATTGTCAGACCTACATAAAAGGGCTATTAAGAATAATAAATGGGCCGGGCGCGGTGGCTCAAGCCTGTAATCCCAGCACTTTGGGAGGCTGAGGCGGGTGGATCACGAGGTCAAGAGATCGAGACCATCCTGGTCAACATGGTGAAACCCCGTCTCTACTAAAAATACAAAAAATTAGCTGGGCATGGTGGCGCGTGCCTCTAGTCCCAGCTGCTCAGGAGGCTGAGGCAGGAGAATTGCCTGAACCCAGGAAGCGGAGGTTGCGGTGAGCCAAGATCGCGCCATTGCACTCCAGTGTGGGTAACAAGAGCGAAACTCCGTCTCAAAAAAAAAAAAAAAGAATAATAAATGCGTTGATAGGTTTAAATGGTGGGGTGGGTGGAGTTCAGTGACTGTGCAAGGGTATACTGGTAAATTGCTAGCCTCCAACAAATCTAGTATGCTGAACATAACTGGTGGGGAGAGTAGGCAGATACATCTATTCTGTGCATACAGGATGATATCGGTTAGGGACTCACTGAAAATAATTTGCTCTGCAATTCTGTGATGTTGACCTCAGGAGAAAGAAATGAATCATCCAAGTCATGGCAGTGACTGAGAAGAAAGGTGGCTCAAGTTTGAGACAGAAGAGAGTTAAGACAGGATGAAATGTACTCTATGAGAAGGAAGGAACTCCATGTCAACATATGAACAGTAAGCCCCAGTTCTATGCTTTAAGGCAATTAACCTCTGAGCCCTCTTTTCCTTGTTTGTTAAAATGGGAATGACACTTAACTCATGATTGCTAAAAAGATAAGGAATAAGCTAGACTATTACTCAACACTCAAGGCTTATTCAGCATCAGAGAAGGCATACTGGTGAGAAACCTTAAGTATGTAAATAATCTAATATAAAGTAAGCACTCAGTATTGGTAGCTATTATTATGGAAGAATGTCATAGCAAAAACAGAGATAATGGGCAAATGAAATGGCTTGAAGATATCAAAATAAAGCCAGCTAGACTATCTTAAGTCCTCCCTCCACACAATCATTGGCCAAACTTAGTCTGGGTGCATCCCTAGAAATCTCTTGAAGTTGTCTTCATTTAATTATCATATTGAATCCCCTCTTTCCTAGACCACTGTAGGCATCTCCTAATGGTCTCTGCAATATGTTCCAGCACCCTCTAATCCATTCAGCACCTGGTGTAGTATTTGTTCTCTAAACTGAAAATCTAAACTCCTTGGTAATTACCAAGAAGACTCCAATAATGAGGCTCTTGCCTACCTCTCCAACCTTGTGTTATACTCTACTTCTGCTTGCTCAAGAAGCCCTAGTCCTTCAAGCACATCAAGTTCTCCCTGCCTTTGAGGGCCTTTCCACACGGGTATCCCCTTTACCTGGCATACCCCCATCCTATCACCATTGTTGGCCCTGCTAATCGCTGCTAATCATTTGAACCTCTGCTCAAACAGCATATCTCTAGAAAGCCATAACTGATCTTCAGTCTAAATTATGGTCTTCCTGTTATCAGGCCTCAGATCTATTTCTTATTAATAGCACTTATTATTTGTAATATTATATAATCTGCACAGATCCAATGAAATCAAGAAATGTTTGATATTTTCACTAATACATACTCACCTCCTGGCAAACTACCTAAAGAATTACTGAGGCAATAAATGAATTTAGATTTATTGTTCTCAAGAATACATTTTTAGAATGGGGTTTCAAGATGGATGACTAGAGGCACCCAGCATTTACCTCCTCCACAAAGAAGGACTAAAACAGTAGATAATCACACACCAAACTGAGCATCTATGACAGAACACTGGAATTCAGCAGGGAAACAACAGGGAACCTCTGAGGCACAAAGAGGGAAGCAAAACAGCTGGCCTTACCAGGATCAGCTTGGATCCAAGAGTGTAGGGGAAAGGTAAGGGAGACCATATTCCCACTGTGGACGCCTGCAATCCTAGCCACAAAACAGCCCCTCAGCCCTCATGGGCCCTAAGACTGGTAAAGGGAGCTACCCAGTATCTACACATCACTGTTTTAGATAGGGAGTTCATGCTGGGTCCCTCCCCAAGCAACTGCAGCACAGTGCCATTTTGGGATCCCAGACCCTAACAGACTACATCCTCCCCGGGACCGAACAGTTCCTCCATCTCTACATCCATTGAGCTCTGCTGGCTTCCCCCATGTCCATGTAAAGGGCTAATGCACTGCAATGGTGGCTGGAACCATTAGTGTGGCTAGGTCCCCGGTACTCCAGTCCAGCACTCAGAGTCCTACACTCTAGGGAATGAGCAGTACAGCAGTCAGAGGCTGCTCTTGGGGCAGAGGGAGCTGAAGTGTGTGCTCCCCAGAGCCTGAGAGGCACCTGCCTGGGGCCACTGCCACTGACAGGAAAACCACTGCTCCCAGGCAGCTGGGTCCCTATACATCTGCAAGTGCCTTCAGGGGCCCCTAAGACTAGTGCTGGTCTGCATCAAAGGGCCTGACATCAAGCCTACCTGTCCCACCAAAGCTGCTGCCTTAGCACATCATCTGAGGGTCTGGGAATGGACTCACCTTGCCGGCCGTTGCTGGTGCCCACATGCACCATCTTGACAATGAGGAAAGGCAGAGCCAGTCTGTGACCAGGGCCTGAGCATGCCATCTGGGGGCATGGGGATTAACCCACCCTACCCACCACAGCTTGAATCCATGTGTACCACTGGCAGGGTGAGAAGATAGGTTGCCTGATGCTGCCCCTGCCACTGCTGCATGCAATGTCCAGGGCTGTGGGGATGAATTCACTCCTCACATTGCCACCAATGCCTGCACATATCTTCTGAGGGCCTAAGTATGGGCTCATTTTGCCTGCCAGTGCCCACCATCTATTGTTTGGGAGCCCAGGGATTGACTCGGCCCATCCACCATCACTAGCATCCCTGCATCCCTGCCAGCAACCTGAAGACAGGCTGTCCCAGCCTCCTGCCACCACCAATGCAAGCACAAAATGTACACACCACCTAGAGGAACAGAGACTAGCCCAATCAGACTGCCACTGCCACTGCTGGTACCTGCATATGTTGCTTCAAAGCCCAAACAGTTGGTCAACTACTGCTACTGTTATAATCAATGCCATACATGCCAATGAGGAGCCCAAGGACCTGCCCACCTTCCTGGCCCACTGCTACTACTGCCAACACCTGAGCAAGCAACCTGGAGGCCCAGAGGTCAACTTGCATGGAGCAGCTACTACCCGTGCTGGAATACAACACCTGGGGCCACATGAACCAGTATGCCCAGGCCATCACCAACACCAATGGGGCCTATGGACCAGCCCAGCTGGTGTCTGGTGTACCTATCCCAGAAAAGCCTCATCACAGCTTCTACTAACAACCAAACCCTAAGCCACTGAGGAATTCATAGATAATGCTGACACTCATTACAGCCAAAGAAATCATATGGAGATTATACTACTGTACCCACCTAGAATAAGGCCAAAGCAACCTACCCAACCACTATAAATACATCTACAGGAAAAACGTTTTTCTACTAAAACAAATCCATAAAATTGGAAAAAATGACCATAACAAAAAATACAGAGATATCAATGTTGGATAAAAGAAACATGAAAAAGCATAGACATGACATCTCCAAAGTAACAAAATAATGCTCCAGCAACAGATTCCAACAAACAAGAAATCTACCAAGTTTCTGAAAAAGAATTCAAAATAATGATATTAAAGAAACTCAGTGGGACACAATAGAACATGGATAAATACCAAAAGAATCAGAAAAACCAATTCCTGATCTGAATGAGAAATTCAGCAGATAGAGGTCATGAAAAAGAACCAAACAGAAGTCCTAAAACTGAAGAATTTCAATGAATGAAATAAAAAACATTTGAGAGCTTCAACAATAGACTAGATCAAGCAGAGGAAAGAATTTCTGAACTTGAAGACAGGTGTTTTGAAAGAACCCAGGAAGTCAAAAGTAAAAATTAATAAGGAATTTTTAAAACTGAAGAAAGCTTAGGTGACACACGAGACATCATAAAGTAACAAAGTATGCAAATTTTGGGTGTTCTAGAAGGAGAAGAGATGGGCAAAGGCATAAAAACCTATTTAACAAAATAATAACTGAAAATTTTCCAAGTCTTGTAAGCAATATAGACATCCTGATGCAGGAGGCTCAGTGATGCCCAAAAAGATTCAATCCAAAAAGGTCTTCCAAGGCCCATCACAGTCAAACTGTCAAAAGTCAAAGACAAAGAGAGAATTCTTAAAAACACAAGAGAAAGGCATCAAGTCATATGTACGGGAACCCACATCAGACTAGTAGCAGATACCTTGGCAGAAACCTTCCATGCCAGAAAAGAATGGAATGATATATTCAAAATGCTGAAAGGAAAAACACTGTTAGTCAAGAATAGTATACCTAGCAAAGCCATCCTTCA